CAAACTTCAACACTACATATAAAACACACTCCTGCATTGAAACGTCAACACTACATACAAGCACACTCCTACATTCAAAAACAAACACTACACATAAATGCACACTTGCATTCAAACTCCAGTACCACATACAAACACATTCACACAAACATACTCCATACAAACACATGCTTACATTCAAACATACTAACATGGCTCAGTGCTAAATACAACCCTGCAAGCATGGGAAATTGGTAGAGTCCCAGCTGTCAAAGCATTGTTGGAGTTGCACGACAGATGGGGTTCTACCTTTAGTCCAACCTTGCAATTGGGGGTCCCAATAAAATTCATTCTACTTTAGTACCGCCACTGCGTTGGGATGGATGCCGTGATTGCATACCAGGGAGTGAGGGGCGAGAGCGGCAGGGCACAGGGGGCCCAAGCAAACACTTGCCCAGGGTCCATTCGTTATTAAAGACGGCCCTGGTTTTGGGAGAAGCCAGAAGTCGCAGGGCACCAAAACTTTCAATACATTCGTGACCATCTTTGAAGCATTTGTGCCAACCTTTTTTTCATGCTGCACTAATTGCATCGTTCCCAAAAGCCTTCTGAATCATCCAAATAGTTTCCGTGGAGGAATGTTCAAACTTAAGGCAAAATTTGATGAAGATACGTTGCTCTACTCACATTTAATACAATGGCCACACAGTACACATGCTCACTCAACGTCTAGCGCCCCCACTGACTAGTACAGTGAAGTCATCATTGTTCACACATGCACATTCCAGTCCACTCTCCTTGGCTGCCAGGTTACATTAATGTCATGCAAATCGTTCTCGTTATGTTAACAATGGCTGAACTTTATTCTGGACAGACCTCTTACATTTTTCCATACTGAACTTCTCCTTATGTGAATAGTTTTCAATTTGCATGGTTGGCCTGAGCAAGGCCAATAAATCTAGTTGAAAATACTGTAAAATAAAATCTTTCTCTATTCCTAAGACTATTGAACAAATTTACTGGCCAAATAAATAAATTAACCAAACTGAATGCCCAACTGGCAGGCTATTCAAGTAAATTTATTACAAACTATTTGCAAAACAATGGATAATATTTTCATTGAAAAGCAGAAGCATATTTTATTCCAACCTTATTCAAATAATATTGTGCTATTGTTTTCCTAAGTTTAAATATCATTCCAATAGTACAAAACACCATTAAAAATAGTTTAATTTAAGAATATTGTTATTGCAATAAATCCTCAAAGCTCTGGTAAACAGTAAATATTGCTCATTCAGAAATAGCTCCATTGTCTTTCTAATGTTTTCTGTTTGAGCATTGTTCATGATAGTACAATAATATAATGTTGCATTATTTGTTTAAAATAAATGGTGCATATCTTTTAGGATTACTTCTGTATAGTGAGAGAAATAAAAAAAAAAAGTCAGGGCCCCCATTGTATTTGTTACTGGTGCAGGAAGATTGCCGCATAATGTAGAACAAATTCTGAACTAACCAAACTGTATTGCTGGAGCTCCTATTGGATTGCACATCACACAAGTCACTGTCTCATTATGAATACAAATCCCTAATCTCTTCCTCTGTAAATGTGTCATGTTTGAAAATCCACAAATGCTCCTTTGAAAAGATACCAGGCGGGGTGATTTGCCTGTCCAGGCTTATTCTTTCAAACACAAATGAGATGCATAGTGAGAATGCAGGTGTATGCCTGCAGATGGGTTTCATCTAAATGTAGTTAATGTTTCCACACAGACAGGATGATGATACAATAAAACCAGTATCATCATTTTGTAAATAAAGTGACACAGACAGCAATGCTTTAAAAAAAACACACACACACACACACACACACACACTATTCACATTTTGCTTTCAATATGATTGAATTCAATAGACTGGTAATTTTTTCTAACGCTGGATGACTTTTGGAATAACTGTGATTACTTTATTTTCTGTTCCTACAGTCAAGGCATATATTGACCATTAAATAAATTCTATCATTCCAAATTAGAACACTGTGTACAACCAATGAGAAACCAGTATTGTAAACATTCCATTTCACTATGCTCTTTCATTGCCTTGACACCCTAATTAATATCAGTCACCTGTGGCATTGTAATATTTGCTGTTTGTCCTCTAAATATAGTTTTGCATATATCCATAAAAAACATTAAAATTACTGTGATGATGTTTTCTTTTCTTTTTTTTTTTTTAAATAATTCAGTGAAGGTGAAAGGAGTCAAAGAAAAATAAATATTTTTTTTTCCAGTTATTGACAGAAATGCAATGCAAATCTGATACACAAAACAGCATCCTCTAACTTCTTATTTCATGTCTCTTACAAAGAAAGACTATGGCCAATGTTTTGCTTCAAGGAACACTATAGAGATAGTTTTACAAATGTGTATTCTTAATGCTATAGTTCCCTTCTAGCTAGTCATGTGACCCCTCCCCTCCCACTTTAAAGGGGGACGGTGATTTGACTTACGTTTTCACTCTTATAGCACCAGCCCCATGCTGCCATCCAACTTCCTTGACTGAGATCATCAAGATGATCTCATCTAATCCACTGCTTTCCCATAGCATTGGGAGACTAGTTCACATGGTAAACCACCATGCTGCACCAATCAGATGGTCTCTATAAGGACATCTGTTAGAAATACACAAAAATAAAATCAGCGCGGAAGCAAAATTATAATAGTCTAAAAGCAGCTTGAACACCAATACGGAGTCTCTCTTGTCTGATCAGAAAACTGGATAAAAACAAGAGGGTAGGTGCAGCATTCAGTAATCCTTGACAAGGTATACGTGGAGAGAACCAGAGAAGAAATAATAGTATATTTAAAACTTTAGTGGTGATAGGAAGAGATGAGCGAACCCGAACTGTAAAGTTCGGGTTCGTACCAAACATCACGATTTTTTGACCCCGAAACCAAGCCCGGACATTTCAGTAACAGTTCGGGTTCGAGTTCGGTGTTCGGTGTTCAGTGTACGGTGTTCAGCGATTTAATGGCGCATTTTGAAAAGCTGCTGGGCAGCCAATCAACAAGCGTAATGGCATGGCTGTGATTGGCCAGTGCAGCATATAACCCAGCCTCTATATAAGCTGGAGTCACATGAGCTCTTATTAGTGTAGGGAGAGGATGCTGCAGCTGGTGATAGATAGTACATTTGCTGCCTGCGGTGAACTTCATATCTGAGAGTCAAATAGAACCGTCAAATACTGTGGTTACATCGCACTTTTAAAAATTCTAATTTTTTGGGTGCTAAAAAGTAAATTTGGGGTGTGCACTTCATATCTGAAAGTCAAATAGAACCGTCAAATACTGTGGTTACATCGCACTTTGAAAAATTCTATTTTTTTTGGTGCTAAAAAGTACATTTGTGGCATGCACTTCATATCTAAGAGTCAAATAGAACCGTCAAATACTGTGGTTACATCACACTTTGAAAAATTCTAATTTTTTTGGTGCTAAATAGTACATTTGCTGCCTGCGGTGCACTTCATATCTGAGAGTCAAAAAGAAGCATCAAAAACTGTTGTTACATCACACTTTTATAAATTCACATTTTTTGAGTGCTAAAAAGTAAATTTGGGGCATGCACTTCATATTTGAGAGTCAAATAGAACCGTCAAATACTGTGGTTATATCGCACTTTGAAAAATTCTAAATTTTTTTGGTGCTAAAAAGTACATTTGTGGTGTGCACTTCATATCTGAGAGTCAAATATAACTGTCAAATACTGTGGTTACATCGCACTTTGAAAAGTTCTAATTTTTTTGGTGCTTGTGACGGACCGCTGGCACTCCGACCGAGTACGTCTGCCAATCAATGCTCCTAACGCTTGCCGAGGACTCCGAGCACTCCAACTGACACCATGAGCACTGCGGACCCCACTTCCAGCGATGCAGCTGCGCCGGGTCTCGCCGTCTCTCCCCCACCCTGGATCCATGATCAGGATCCAGCTCCCAGTGGGTGAACCTCTCCTAAATCCAGAGAGCGTAGCAGGAACAAATCAAGCTCTTACAAGAACTTACTCTGGGGAGTAAGTGATTATAGCAATCCCCAGAGTGTAGGTATCCCTTCCCCCAAGCATGAGCCAAGGCTTCAAGAAAGATGCAAGTAGGTCTGGTTTATTGAGGGCTACCTGCCCTGTATTTATGCACGTGTCCACCAGGTGGACACTCCCCTAGGGGACCTGATGGAACAATGGGACACATATTGGGTATTCGCCAATCACAGACAATACAAACAAAACACTCCCACAGTGACATCACAATCCCTCCTCTCTATCCTGGAGATAATTGGGAAGTAATCAAATTATCTCCCAGGACAGAGGCAAGACTCCATTAACCACATGGTTGCAAAAAGACATAAAATTACACAATGTTACAATTACTACATAAAACATATACATGCAACATATCCCCAGATAGCTTAGATCTGAGCGCACATTATTACCGAATGGCGCTCAGATCACATACATACAGTTCAATCGCCATGGAGCCAAAGTATTTTCCATAGTCTTTCGTTACACGAATAGGCTCCATGGCATAGCTATCTGGGGTAGCACTACTCACATACTGAAAGTCCAGAACGCCCCGGCAGAAATATACATCCCTTGCCTGGCGCATGTGCTGAATTTGGTGGTGCAGACATTCCTGAAAAACTACCCAGAGCTGCTGCAGAAAGTGCGGGCCGTCTGTGTGCACTTTTGGCGTTCTCACCCTGCTGCTGCTCGCCTGTCTGCGCTGCAGCATAACCTCAGACTTCCCGCTCAGTGCCTCATATGCGATGTGCCCACAAGGTGGAACTCTACCTTGCACATGCTGGAGAGACTGTGCGAGCAGCAGCAGGCGATGGTGGAGTTTCAGCTGCAGCACGCACGGGTCAGTCGCTCTGCACCAGACTTGCCCTCCAATAGATCCTCGTTAAAGGATTTAAAGTGTACTCATTGCAATTACAGAGCCTCGAAAGAGTCCTGTATTGTTATTTTTCGTCACTAACTCCCCGCGTCGGGAGTAGGTAATTTGCGCGCCTGCTGCCTTCCTTGGATTTGGTAGCTGTTTCTCAGGCTCCCTCTTCGGAATCGAACCCTGGTTCCCCGTTACCCATGGTCACCATAGTAGGCGCAGAAAGTACCATCAAAAGTTGATAGGGCAGACATCCGAATGCATCGTCGCCGTCACGTTTGATTGGCCCAAGGTTATCTAGAGTCACCAAAGTGCCTGTGCAACAACTGCCGAGTCCTGCTGGATCCCTGTTACAAGAACAACGTGCCGTCCTTAATTCCCTCACTGGAGCGTGATTGGAAGATGCGCAACTACAAGTGCACGCTGGTAGATGCCCTGCTGAGGGCATTCCCAACTGACACCGGGGGCTCAGTGGAAACACAAGGCAAAGGCAGAGGAGGAGGAAGAGGCACTCAAGGTGTCTTTGCACGGCACTCAAGGCTGCTAGAGCCAAAAGGCTCTGGCGTATCAGGAGTCCCAGTGAAATTTCAGATATCTGCTAATACGAAAAGGTGGTGAAGGACAATCCTCAATTCATGCATTGCAGCACATCTCAGATCACTTCCTCCCAGCACTTGTGAATGGGAATGAACACTGTAGTAGAGCAGGCTGCAGCTGCTGTTGCAGCTCCTGTCCTTGATCTGTACCTTGCCAGCCTGGTCCCCACTGGAACTCAGGGAAGCCACCAACACTGCTAGATATACACAGAAATGCACAATAACCCTCCCCTCATACAAATAATACGAACAGCCCACAAACAAACATATATACAATCCGCATAAACGTAACCCGCTATCAGATTCTAAATCTGACAAGTAAGGCTTTTCTAATTTATTACTGGCCCTTTAAGTGAACTTCATGATCTTCACCTCTAGTTTCCTCCCTAGCCACTAATTTCTTCCCTCACTTTAACATCCTCACCTGTATTGACTAATGAGAAGGCTTCATAAGTCTACACCCTGCACACGACAAGGCCTTGACATTGAAGTCAGTGTTCTGACATAGAACTTCTTCTGATCCTGGCTCCTGAAATCATTCTGTATTTATCTGCATTATATCAATCTGAAGATACTTACCTGCTTGATCTACCATATTGAAGAGACTTAACTGCTTCAACTATTGCAACTCTGCACAGTGGCGTACTAAGGGGGGGGCGGGGGGGGCGGTCCGCCCCGGGTGCCACCAGGGTGGGGGGTGCCATGACCAGCCCCGCCGCCCCCCCCATGCTGCAGCCGCCCGAGCGCTCTGTGAAGAGCCTCAGGCGGCTGCAGCTTTGCCC